TATATATATATATATATATATATATATATATATATATACATATATATTTCTAAACTATAAACACTAAAAGAGCACAGAACGTCATGATTTCAGCTCTCTGCCTCCACTGCACTCAGCCACCTGCAAGTGCTCTTGGCCACGCCCACTTCTCCACTCTGCACGGAGAACAGCTGATCAGCTGCAGCAGGACGTTTATCCTGCAGTGTGGGCTGTACAAAGGTACAGCAGGTGCTAATTAATTTAAAACACTTAGTTTTAAATATAAATCCCATGCCAACCGTGCGGCTCAGCCATCAATCAGCCAATTCTGTGTCATGTCCAATCTTATTTTGAAAAACCGTGATAGAGCGAGCCTGAGAAAAATGAACCGCGAAGTAGCGAGGGACTACTGTACTTAATTTGGTTGAATGGGAAACTAAATTTCTGCAACATGAATTTTCACAGCTTTCTATTTTGCATGTCCATTTATTTTTTTTTTAACTTCTGTTTGACAGGTTGTGTTTGTTCGGTACATAACTACAGCTGCATGATTTGATGTTGGACAAAAGAGTAATACCAATAATACTGCAAACCTACATAACATCTGCAGATGCACTTAGGCCTCATGGAAAATACAATATATGTCAAGTCTGAATATTTTATAAGCCTAAATCCCATGCTGTCAGTAAGTTATAATACATGATTCAGTCAGAGGAATGTAACAAAACAAGACTTGATTTGCATTGTTTTATCTTTTTTGGAGTGGTTTTTATTTGTTATTATTATTATTTTATTTGGTTTTATTTCTAATCTAGGTTAGAGTGTTTAGGGAGGATGTAGCAGTTGAATTTCAACAAAACCTTGTAAGTCATATTGAAAACCATGAGCCAACATGCAGACTCCGTATAGGTGTCCATCCATACAGCATTAATGCAGCACTTGTGTTACCTTTGGATTAAGTAATGTTTCAGTGTTTTCTTTGCTGCTACTCTTTCTAATAAGACATCTCATTTTTCTTTAATGTTACATTAAATATTAAACTGCTAGCACCCTTAGTGCTGATATAATTTAATTTGCTCCCAAGTTACTGACTAGTTAATTAAGTCAGATTGATGCTTGTCCAAACAAGAGAGACATAATACTGGGCTGCAACCCTATATGCGGCATACATACCATATTTTTCACCCTATAAGTCACATTTTTTTGCATAATTTACATACCCTGCAACTTATAGGCCGAAGTGACGTATTTATGGATTTTTTCCCATATTTATAAACCAATTTTTGACTGAGATATGACCGTTTTCATTTATTCTGTCTGAAAATATTGAACACTACCATTTTCAGCCACTAGATGGCAGCAGAGTAGTAGTAGAAGTTAGGCATGCCGTTGTATCATGTAATAGTAATGTAAATGTGGCTATAATGACAAATTGAAAAAAGTTCAAGACAAAAAGTCGACTTTATTTATTACACTTGATACTTCATTGTTTTTGTCTTGAACTGTTTTGAATTTACCATCTCCTGGATGACTGAGAATCTTCACCAGCTATTAATGACTCAATCGGCTTGCCAAAGTACACCCCCCACCCCCACCTTCATTCTGCTCGCTGCTTGGAGCAACCTCAGCTTAATTTTGCTGCACCGCCCCGACAAAATGCAGCTAATTTGACCATTGAAGTGCAATTATTAAGTAAAAGTTCAACTGAGACACACCTTTGCTATAATGTCGAGCAAACAAATAATTATTTTAGGTGCTTTTCTTGTTAAATTTTGAAGAAACGAGCAGCGTTCCTCCTTTTTTGTTTTTTTCCTCTTTCTGTGCGCTCCCGGAGCACTGAGGCAGCAAATATACAGCTGATTTGACCGTTGAAATCCTTTTATTAAGCAAACGTTAGACTGAGACACACCTTTGCTATAATTTCGAGCAAGCAAATACTTGTTTTTAAGTGTTAATCTTGTTAAATTCTTGTTAAAGTCCTCCTGTGCACGCTCCTGCCATTTGGCAGCCTATCGATTTTTGGCACAACACCGGTCCATATTTCCAGGTTGTCAGCAGTGACGCGTAACAAACGCGACGCGTCAGCGGTGACGCATAAAAGATGCGATGTATATGGCGAAGCGACATATTTATGGATTTTCCCACTTTTTTAGACATATTTGGACTGATGTGACTTATAGGTGGTGCAACGGATACGGCAGAAAATACGGTAATAAAATGCATCCAAACTTTTAGTCTTCCACTTTGAATCACGAAATGTTTTCTTGTGCACTTAAAGAAATATGTTTCAGTGGAAAAGCAGAAAATCCAACAAGTTAATGACTGAACAACAGTTTTGCCTCAGTTTGCACTCATGGATGCAGGTTCTGCAAAAAGCATCAAGAGAAACTGGACATAAGAGGAGAAAAGCAACGACTGCCATTTGTAAGGGTTTTTAAAGGGTGGTGGTCTGCAGCGGTACCTGACGTGGGTCATGTCTGTCAAACTTGGTCACCCCTGTCCCAGAGCCTCCTCCTGCTCCCCCCTCTAGGGTCCCAGCTCCTCCAACACCTCCTGTGGATGCTCCACTTCCTGCTCCAGCTGATACAGGAACGGTCAGGCGGGGGTTTCCTCCGTTGGTGGTGAAGCTGTGCAGGCAAGCAGAGGAGTAACCCTCTCTCTTCATGTCCTTCCGTTTCACGAAGTCATCGTACATAGCAGGGTGTTTACGCTGAAGGAGACAAGAGACCGCACATTGTTCAGATGATGTTCACAACCCTTGTTTTCAGAATGATCAACTCTCTCCCAGCAGAGAGAAGCAACAGCCTCTTTCTTTGCATGCTCACCTGGAAACAGAGAGAAATGCTGTACAGCCAGATGTTCCAGCTGCAGACAAGCATCAGTAATTTCCCTTATATTAAGAGACCATCTCAGTTGGAAAACATTACCTTGAGGTGAGTAACGAAGTTGGACGTAACGCTCCGTTTCGCCTGGATCCTGGTGCCACAAGCCTTACAGTTGGACTCGATCTTCCCATTGTCGCCCTCAAACACAATATTAAAGTAATCCAGAATGGACACCTTCGAAACTGACGCCATTGAAGCCGACAGCGGCGCCTCCGCTCCGGAAACGATGATCCGGGGAAAAATGTGAGGAGGAGTCAGATGAGGAGTCAGCCTCTCCTCGGATCATGAGCGCAGGCCGGCGTGTTTACATCCCAATCCCAAACCGTGGGGAAAAAAAATCAAATCAAACGCTACTCCTCGGAAACAAAGGCAAACACTGAATGTACGCATCCAGACGTCGGTCATGATCAGTGGAAGGGAGCAGCTGCGGACTGGATGGAAACCTCTACAACATGATGCATGCGCTGCCATCCGCCGTCCGGACGCACGAGGCTACCGGGTCAGAACTGGACCAGGAAGTATACGGACCATACGCGGGACTTTCGGCTCCAACATCGACTTTTCCCGGAAATGTTCGGCTCTGCCCGCTGATTGGATGTGACAGCATCTCTCTCTCTCTCTCTCTCTCTCTCTCTCTTTCTCTCTCTCTTGTTTTTCATTTATTCATTCATTTAAAAGAAACAAAATAATCAAAACAAATTCATAAAAAAAAAAGAAAAAAAAGAATGAAAAGGGTGCAGAAAGAAGAAAATTCTTATATCTACTCCATATATATATATATATATA